TATGGGAAATTTTAATTAACGGTTAATGAGACCACCATTAGCTCTTGGGTTCTGACGAATCGTAGGTTAATAGGATACGTTGATGGTGAATAATTTACTTTTGACGAGGTTGGATATGTTGTTTGTTAAAGTGCAACACTGAAAATTATTTCATTTTTACATAATATAAGAGATATTACAATTATGTATTAGACACAGTATATATGAAACTGTATATTATGGGTAATTATATTCATTAAAATGGACTACTTAAATATTGAATCCGCTCTTATCTTGTCAATGAAATACTGATGTGCTCGACAAGTGATATGCTTGAAACTATTACGAGTTCACCTTACTCGATAAACGAGAGCGAAGCAATGATATAGTGACATGATAGGCTATTCTGATTCGATTGTCCATCGCCCTGCTCACTATAACAAGAAGTCTTGATATGGTGTAGAAAGTGTATTCTACAAGCATTCAGAAAATATGAGGTTGACAAGCACACAAATCGAGTGTATTGATACATGATAAAAACGTCCTTAGGAGAGCCATGAAAATAGCGTACTAAAATAGTACATCAATGATTTTCCGGGTAGGAAATGTAATCTCAAGTTCACCTGACCAGTCTGTGCGTGAAAACACAAAATCGAAACTTAGGACCTTTTCCAAGTGAGTTCTGGGGATCTAGCCTCCTCAGCAAAATTGAGCAGCATGATATCTAAATCGTTTATCTGATTTTCTATTCGAAATTCAGTATTGAGCTTGTATAATCGAATAAAAAACATATTTATTCATTTTAGAATTCATGACTGGACTGAACGAATCAAGAAACAAGAAAGCATTATATTCACTGTCATTTTCTTTTGTTACAGTTGAATTCTTTGACACTTGTTATTCAGTTTTGTTATTATCATATAATGCTATCATGTATCATAACAGAACAACAAAATTAGTACATCAGCAGAAGACTAATGTGATACATTAAATTAAAAAGGAAATCAATAGCTTATCAATTTTCTTAAGTTAACGATACCGGCTTTAAATTGTAATTTGTTACTTTTTATCTGAATAAACAACCAGACGAATAATAAATGTTCATTTTTCGGGGTAAAACAGCTATCTATCTAGTATTCCAATATCCCTTTCTAATGAAAATTCTTTTCAAGATTCTCCATAATTCGGTATTATTTTCGATTACTAATCATCACTTGTTTCAAATGCATTTGAAATGATTTTCAGTAACAGAGTTTACTAATTAAAAATTTTGATGGTCAGTGTGAACTTTCTGTTAATCTAGTTATTTGTTTATTAATGATTTCCAAATAAAATAAAATAATGTTGATCTTCGGACAACATTTCCATCACAAAATTCGATATTCTTATTACATAAACCAGTTAGGTAAGAAATATGCATGTATTAAACGTGGAGTTTTGCCAGTTTATTAAATAATATGACCTGATTTTGAACATGTCAACTTGATGAATTGAAAAAAAACAATCATGTACACATACTGAATAAATTAAAAGATCTGAAATGTATATGCAAAATAATTGTGATAAAACACTAGCAGTATGGATGCTTTGACATTAAGTTTTATACTGCCGCCTCTGAATTTTAAAAACAAAAGACATTTTCTCAAAATATGCCGATAAAATTAGATCTAGATTTTTATGGAAGAATAGAAATAGATTTATAAATATAACTTATCAATGAAATCATGAATCAATCATTGTTATACCATGATTAGAAGCCTGGAATTTTAGATGTCCATATCTTAGTTGGAATTTAATCATTCTGAAAGGTATCACGGTATGTCAAATGAGACATATTTGAGGAGGAGTATGCGAAGTTGCTAATCTGTATGTGCGAAGACCTTGAATGGAATATAAGTCATTCTTTCCATTCAATTAGCGCAACTGGCTACAATGATTTGTAAGTTTATATACACAATTTGTGGTACTACGGGTTTCACTTTCATCGCTCTCTAATTTTTTTAGAGAATATTTCGTTTTTTAATGAGATGGTCAACGAGGATTCAGAATACTTACTGGTTAAGATAGTGTTTAACATATATGGCATATAATAAAGACATTATTTAGATTTTCTTTCATCAGTATAATTAGGTTAATCTCCATTTGTCATTTTTATTCAAAAAAATATCAAGTATTTTAGACGAAATACAACCAATTCATAATATTCTCTCCAAACTTTTATACTGAATGAAATAAACCAATTTTCAATATGTAATTCGTGTGTGTATTAAATAATCAACATGATGTAAATACCTACATCAGTTGATTAATTAAATATGTAAAAAAATAATCCTTTTCACTGAGTTCACACAATTAAAAATCTAAATTAATTTTTCAAAAAGATAGTCAACTGTATTATTCTTACAACTTCAAGTTAATGATCCATACTAGATATTTCAGTGTTATTAATTTTATTTTATCAAAAATTCTAATCCCCTTTTGTATTAATTTTTTAAAATGTATCTATCATATTTTGCTTTAACAAACATAGAAACTTTTAAATGATTAATTCATTGTCAAATAATATAGATAAGAAAAAAACACCCTCAGTAACCCAAAGTTTGAACATTAGAATGTTTTTGTAGAAATCAAGAAAGTAAATTTAATCTTATTCTTAGAGTTTATCTCAACTTCGGGATAAGTCCACTCATAGGATGCTTTCAAACTGTCAAAGTCATTAAAGTTAACAGTTAAAAAAAAATAATAGAGAAGATTGTCCAATATCTTAAGTTCCATGAATAATAATCCTTCGTTCCTATCAAATAATATGTAATTTGAATGGATCATAGTTTTTCGTTTTTTTCCGTGTACCTAAATTACTGGTTGCTCTGGCTGTTAGTTTTACTCTTCTATTCTCACTTCGACTTTATCAAATTTTCACATTTGATTTATTCAAATCTGTTACCCTATTTAATTGGGTGACTTTCATCTGATTAGCCAGCTTGGTTTAAATGTAACTATTTTATGATAATTTCTTGAATTTATGTTAAAATGTTAACTTCTAATCAATAATAAAATTTGAACTTTCAATATAATTCAGACGAAACGTTCAGTATTCTATTCAGTAGCATTTGAGTGAACATCAACTCATGTTACGAGAACCAGGTAGTTCAAAACATGCGTTTTTAATTTCGTTGATAGTAAAATTAAATCTATTCCATAAAAATTTCAGTATGAGTTCGCAGATATTGTTGACTTTCATTGAAATCATGAATCGATCAATGTTAAACGACTGTTGAAAATCTGGAAGCGCTAGATGGACATGAGTTCGTGCAATATGGGGGGTTGGGTGAAGTTAGACTTCAGCAGCGTTAGATGCCTGCTTAGTGGTCAAAAAGCTCAAGACTAAAGGTCCTGAGTTCGATTCCACCTGCAGGTTGTGGATGCACACTGCTGATAAGTCCCATACTAAGACGAAATGGCCGTCCTGCTCAACTTTTTTGTTTTACTCATCATCATATATTATGTCGTTTTGTACGTAGAAGTAGAAAAAACAACTTAAAAAGCAATTTTGATATTAGATTTTAATTAAACTTGCAATCTATTTTCTTTACAGCTATAGAACAGAAATTCGCCATATTATTTGATAAATAATGAATTAAAGAGACATTCAGAAATTTTCATAGTTTTTAAAAATGAAAGTCCTCGCATTCATAGTTCATAAGCAGGTGAACTGGACTAATAAATGTTCACAAACTGTATTTCGATGTATGACGCTGTTGAAATTAGATAACAGATATTGATTTGCCGTTGTGGTCAGTAAAAAAATGCATACATTATCAATAACATTAATACTGTGTTTGCTCTATTGAATTTGGTATATCTTGTCTCTGTACCCAGTACCAGTAATGTTGCGCACTACACCTTTTTTATTCAGGCAGATTTATAATTAAAATGACAAAAGAGTAAATAATGTTTAGCTGAAATGATTTTCTTCACTACTTCTAAAGCAATTACACAAAATCAAAGCTTACAATTAACTTACTATTAAACGAAAATAGAGTTCTTAACTCGTATATAAGGGTAAACTGACGATCTAACAAACTTTTTTTTCAAAAAAACTAGCTGTTCATGTAATCTAATGGAATAAACAGCAAAAATAGCGTTAGAATTTGATTAATGACAAATTTGTACATTGAGAATTTGCTTTTACAGAACTTAAGTTCATTGCGTTTTGTAGGCAGACCGCTTTTGAAGTAAAAGACATTGAAATGATACAGATACAAGTGAACTGTTTTTATTATCCAGCTTATTGTCTTCTCGTATTTTGTATAAAATTATTAATGAGTTGATTAGTGAGAAATGACCTGTGTCTTTTATGTCTAGTTATTGCTTTTTGTTCAAACAGATCAGCAGTAACGTCTTACTCCAGGACGTAAGGCTCTAATTTTAAAACAAACACCAACTTCCACCAAAGTTTGGTTAGTTGTAATGCTAAGTATTACCAAACCTTGATAACTAATATTTATTTTTATATCATATTATATAAGTATAAAATTGTTGACTAAAGTATCTCTTAAATGTGATCTACCGAGAGTGACATTTTTTTGGGTCATCTGTTAGACATTATAAATCCTTTATCAAATGTAGTGTTATTTATTAACTGTTGTTAACAGAATTAAACGGATCATAATTTCTCCATAGTAACAAGTTCAAGGTTTCGTCAAAAAGAAACTTATCATTTTCGTTACTTTTATTTTCTGCAAACGAATTAATAATGAAACTCTCCTCTAAGGTAATTCAAAGCAAAAATCATTTAGAATATTTCGTATGTGTTTGTCATTCCGTAGAAAAAATTACCTATAAGTTGATATTATTCAATTTTTACTCTGCAGAATTATTTATTTGCTTCTAATAGTTAATAGAATCACACATTTTTTCTTTATAATCCAAGTTTTTAACCAATCAAAAATATGCATACATTTGACAACTGTTTGATATTGAAATTTAATCAGATTTCATATAATCGCCGTGTGTGCATTATTTGTCATTAAATTGTCAATTTTTTTTTCGATAAATGCCATATATATTTAATTCATTTATTTGATTAGACGAAAAAAAACAATAGTTGAAAGTGATTATAATCTAATCAAATGTTTATTCATAATCAGATAATTGATAAATTAATATTTATTCTTGGTTTGTCATCAACATTATTGTCTATGTTTGTTTTGAATTCATGTGAAGCATATTATCTACCAGTGAAATATAATTTCGAATATGATTTAATTGATTATTTAACCAATGTTAATGGGTTGAAGCATTATCCGCGCCAAATTCGATCATGTAAGTCAGTGTTTAGAGGAAAATGATGTTTTTTTTTTCAAATCATCTATCCATTGGTTTTATATTTCTCTCAAAGTATCATCTGTAATTAATTATTCGTGTTTATAATTTGCTATAAGAAATTTCCATTTTAATGCAGCACTAATAAAAATAGATTGAAAATTGGTGTTTAGAATCATTTGGAAAGATTCTTTTTTTTCCGCGATCGAAATATCTGCAGGACGATTAAGATAGTTTTTAACTAAAAACTGTATTACTTGCTTGCTGATAGAAAATATCGAAAATGAATTTTAACAAAAACAAACAGAGAACCATTGTCTATGTCATTATCGTCTATATACAACTACTATAGTAACAAAGTAATAACGTCCTTTATAATTAAAATCAGACTAAAAAAACGTTTTATATTCGAAAATGAAAACTTTGTTTCCTGGCAATATTTCACTTAGCTATGTTTTTATTCGAAAGTTTAACCGTTCGTTACAGAGTTAATTGGTGATATGGGAAAACCATATCGTAAATCGTTAATTTGCAAAATATCAATCCATCATATCGAACTGGACTGTTCCTGTTGCAAACATCAATCCATTGTCTGACATTTCACTGTTCATGCGTTTCATACAAATCCCATTGTGTTCCCGCTCTTCCTTTCTTCATCTTCTACCATCTTCTGCTGCCAGACATTACGTTTTTACTCGCGTCATATACTACTTATAAATAGCGCGCACCACACTATCAGATGTATTGTATAATGGTTGACTTTTTGAAATTTCGTTATGTATTTATTTTTGTGATGGTGCATACCTATTTCTACTGATACATTGTTAGATATGACTTTCATACTAAGTAAGTTTATACCACAACTGGTTTCTTTTACAGACATTCGTGATGACGTCTTGATAGTAGATTGTTATTTATACCACTAATATGTGAGCATTATCTATAGAGCTAATAATTTCTCAAATTACTTGAATTCATCGCCCAGCTCTTTATAGGCCATATGCAACACGAATGTTAGATGAATGTTTTCCTCTTAAATATCTTTAGCAATTACACGTTAAAGTTGAACTACTGCTTAACTTTCATTATTATCAAATTATCTCGATTATTATTATGTTTAGCAAGAAAATATCATCTGAATAGAATTCTGTATCATCTATTAGACTTCAGTTCCTTCAATTAATTTGAATAATGTAATGAGAAGACAAAATTTACCAGGACTATGCAATGTGTTAGCTCAATACATTTTGAACAGTCAGATCACATGTTAACTTGTCAAACTATTTAAATCTAAAAAATCAAGGTCAAACTAGGCGAATTAGCAGATGAGATAAACAAATATTATTCGAAAAAACGATATGAATTACTCCACTCTGGAAAATAAGTTTATGTAATCAAGGTATGACTAGTGTAACTATATTTTGTTTTTGAACATTCTGCGTTGGATATTGAAACATGGGTGTTTATCGTCAGCTCTTATTAGGTCATTGAACTTTATTTGTTTTTGCAGACATTTTGATAAACGTTCAACTACCCTAAATCAGTCCTGTGACTATTATCCAGAATTGCGTTATTCAAATTGTTTTTGGCCTGACAGTTTGTCTAGTTGACCTCTTATTTTTTATATATAAATGTGTGGTCAGAATGTTCGTAATCTTCAGTATAGGTTAGTGGTGATTATTTGATTTTATTGAAATCATGAACTTATCAGTGCTAGATCACCATTCGAAACCTGGAATTACTAGGCGGCAGCTTCGTCCCAGTATGGGACTACTTTGGGCTAATATGATGCATATTTCTGATCAACTTCTTTTCACAGTACCCAGTTAAATATCCTTATTTCTGTTCATACTTGATTTCCATGTTCAGTGGTTTGTTATATTTATACTGAACGATTCACATTTATTTAAAGAATTTTCAATGTTGGCTGAACATTTGAATATATGCGTAAACCGCGTAGTCAGCTGAATAGTGAAAATTCTCCTTCACAACTAAACATCCAGAAGGTTTAGTAGGCCGACCTCACTTGTATTATTGCAATTTAGTGACACCAGACTTTTAGAATTGGGAATTTGATTTTAAGTTATTGGTTAACAAGTGAATTAAGTGTCGATAAATTTCGATGCATTGAATGTAAGCTCATTCATGGTTAGAGATGTACACTCTGAAGAGTCTTTAGAGGCCTCATCAAATTTGAAGTAGGGCTCATCACTGTAGTGGCCCGCTATTGAACTTCAATTTAGACGAATGATCGAGTATGTGGTGAGATAAATCTTCTCTTTAATTTCCGTATACCATATATACCATATCCAGTTTATGCAACAGCGGTAGTAAGAAGCCAAATACGGATTCAGTTAGATGAGTTTATTTCATACAGACAGATATGAGAATACGATGCGTAAAGGCAAAGCGGATCGAAGTGGAGAAGGCGAGAGAGCCAACTCAATGTGATGAGGAGTGACTAAGTATTTATAGTCAAACAAAAATAGGGTAAACATGTAATAAGCAAAGTAAGCATGCGCATATGCGCCCAAATAAAAACAACCAAGTATATGAGCGGCTAATAGACTAAGTCAATTGACGTTTGAATAGTGACTCGGTCAGAAAAGCTTAGTTTGTCAAAATACTGGTGCAAGCCCTTTGTGCTCAACTAAGTCACAGACACACTACAAATCTCAAGCACGCGGTAAAAAATTATCCAGTTTTTTACAAGTTTCATGGATCATTTGGTCATTGTGATCCTTTATCAAAAATGAATTAAAAATATTTTCATGCTACATTTATCTTTACTATCAAACGTTCAACTAGTCAACTATTTATTATTTAGTACCATTTCAGGTATACGATGTGAAAAGTAAAACTGAAATAATCAGTTTTCATTACCTTCTTTACTATTTGTTTACAATCTTCATTCATTTTATGGCAGAATTTTACTGGACGAGAATTATTATCATCCCAATTCCTTCTGTTAAAACTTATTTTGTTAGATAAAATTACTTGCTTTAAAGTGAAAATTGAGTAAAGAAAATATATGTAGTGTTAAACAGGTTGGGAAATAAAAATATTTAAAAATGTTTGCGAAAAATAACCATTAGTAATTGTACGTGAATAATGTCGAACTGGAAATAATACGTGATCAGGATGAGATTTTGTAGAGACTATTAAATGTTACTTATTTACTTACTAACGCCTGTAATCCCTAATGGAACAGAGGCCACCGACCAGCATTCTACATCCAAAGCTGGACTAAACCTTTCTTCTCAGTTTTACCAAATCGCAATTCATTCTTTTCATGTCAATCTTCGATTCCTCGGTCTACATCTTTTCTTCACCCTGAGGGTTCAAACTTAGGGATTGCCTAATGATGCAGTTGGTAGATTTCCTCAATGTGTGTTCCATCCGACTTCAGCTCGTTATCCTAATTTCTCCCTCAGCTCGAATCTGGTTTGTTTTGAGCCAAAGTAGGTAGTTTCAGATGTCATCTGGCCAAAGGATCCTCAGCATCCTGTATGGACAATTAACGATAAACATCTATATCTTTCAGATGACAGCTTTTGTGGTTCTCTAAGTTTTCAGTCCGTACAACAGAACTGATTTGACTTTCGCACAGAAAATTGTGACTTTGGGGTTGGTTGGCAGTTGTTTTGAGTTCCAGATGTTGTTCACTTGTAGAAATATACCCCTTGATTTTCCGATCCGTAGTTTTACATCGGTTTCAGTCAGATCTACCTAGTTTATCAATGACGCTGTCCATGTATACAATGTTTTCTACATCTTCCGTAGCTTCTCACTTAAGTGTGATTTGGTTGGTGCGTTTGTCGGAGGATCTTGCTTTTCTATTGTGTATGTTGAAACCTATTGCTGTTTTGGCTGTTGCTCCACTGGCAATTTTCAGTTGAATTTTTCGTTGTTTTTAGGATAGAAGTGATATATCATCCCTAGAGTCCAGATCGTCCATCTACATCTTAGGTGTTCATTGTCTCCCGTGCTTCCTCTAAGATGTTGACTTGTTCGTAATCCAGTCAACCACATAGGAAGAAAGGGAAAGGGTGTGAGTAAGCAACCTTGTTTCACGTCTATGTTCACCTGGAAATGAGTCTGTGAGCTTTCCTCCATGCCAAACCTTGCACTTTAGTCCATCATTTGAGTTCGGTATGATGGTGAATCGTGGTGTCGAAGAAGCTTCCGTAGTGTTATCCTATTGAAACTCTCAGTGTTTTCTCATAGTCAAAGAAACCGGTGTAACGTGGTGAATTCCACTCAGTCAATTGTTATGTAATTATCTGTAATGTCAAGATTTGGTCGGTTTATGATCGATACTCACGGAATCCAGCCTGCTAACCTTGAAATTGAGCGTCTACGGAATTTTTCATTCGGCTTAACAACACCCTATTAAAGAATTTTACTGTTATTGATAGAATAGTGATGCCTCTGTAGTTCTCACACTTGTTGAGATAGCGTTTCTTTGGTATCTTGATGAGGTGTCCTTCTTTCAATTCTGTCGATATAAACACTCCAAGTCGAGCCTTTCAGGGTTACTGCCGAGTCTTAATTTTGTTCTTGGCAATTACTAAATAAACATTATGAGGATATTATTTGTTGTCGATAAAAATAGAGATGAAATTAATAAAAATAGTAGACAATGTTTTGAAATTTAAATTATACAGATCGAAGTTATTCTAAAAATTTGTGTATAAATTTTAATGACTACTTTTTTCACAAACTGACAGCACCTGGTGAAATACGCTATCTCGTCCCAATTCGAAATCTAGTAATAGACTGCACTGCTGCAAGCTGTAGGCAAATATCTATTTTTCATGAGAATTCATATTCAACAGTATACATGTACCATCAAGAAAATGTTTCTTCAATCATTAACAAATAGTTCTAATGTATGACATCTGGAATTACTGGTTTTAAAGGGGTAACCCATATTTTCTGACAAACACCCGATTAGTATTGGAAATATGAACTAAAAGTGAATATCAAATCATATTTAT